TCTCTATACCTTAGCCACATGACATGACAGAGTGAAAACTTGAAAAATCTAGGCACAGTAGGTTTTTGCCATCTCTCGTCTATGTTTTGAGTTCAATGGAAAATTTTGAAAAATCAAACTTGAATGGCAATAGTCTCATAAATTTTAAAATAGAGTGAAAACTAAAGAGGAAATAACAAAGGGATTCAAAAATCTCCGAACTCAATGGTAAGGCCATGGGCTGGCTTTTTGTAAACTGAACTCAAGTTTTCAGTATCAAGAATCCAACCCATTTACTCATGCTGCGTCGTACAGGGAGAGCTTGCAGGGATTCAATGCCCCATTTCAAATCAGCCCGCAATCTATCCACCAACGAAGAGTATCACAAAAGAAGAAAAAGACAAGCTATGGTTCGGTTGGCTAGACATCAACCCCCTTGTCAAATCTACACTCAAGATCAACATTTTATAATATTATCTTCTTGTGAAACAGTTTGCATGAATTAATATCATTTTGAACTATTATTCAAACTCAAATTTGAAACTATTGTATATCAAGAATTTTTCAGAAAAATGGCAATATTCGAATGAGGATTTAAATATTTTATAACTATAACGGTATAAAATTAAAACATGTAAGGATCTGTTATAAATAATGGATATCCATCAGGTTGAAAGTGAGGAACAATGTTGGAAATTAAATATCATGTTTTAAGGAAAGTTGAAGACTTATAGGCCAAATAGTAAGAAGCAATTATTGTGGTTGTTGAACTCAAGTTTTCAGTATCAAGAATCCAACCCATTTACTCATGCTGCGTCGTACAGGGAGAGCTTGCAGGGATTCAATGCCCCATTTCAAATCAGCCCGCAATCTATCCACCAACGAAGAGTATCACAAAAGAAGAAAAAGACAAGCTATGGTTCGGTTGGCTAGACATCAACCCCCTTGTCAAATCTACACTCAAGATCAACATTTTATAATATTATCTTCTTGTGAAACAGTTTGCATGAATTAATATCATTTTGAACTATTATTCAAACTCAAATTTGAAACTATTGTATATCAAGAATTTTTCAGAAAAATGGCAATATTCGAATGAGGATTTAAATATTGTATATCAGGAAACTCACGGTCTATGCTTGACTTTTGTAATAAGCTTGTAATTTTTATGTTGGAACTTCTTTGGTCCTTTATGGCTATATGTGGAGATACACTTGTGCACCTAGTGTTGTTGGTGTGTAGTCCTTCGTATTTGGATTAACTCTTTGTGGATATTGCACTTCCGTATTTGTAATAACCTTGTGTGGTTATCTATATTTGTACCTATTCTTGTGACTATAGACCTTTGTGCCTGAATTATAAATACAATATATCATTTTTATCTATAAAAAAAAAAGTAAAATAAATTGTCATGTGTACGTGTACCTAAACTCAACCCTAGTGTGACCAATGTCTTAAATATCGATAGTTTCGGAAATATTGGTGGTTCAAAAATACAGAAATATAGATGGAAATATCGGAAAAATATCGATATCGATAAAAATTGGATAAAAACCACGGAAATTATGATAAATACATGAAATTTTTTAATGAAACTTTAGAAGAAGTTTATTTAGTCAATCATCTATTATTTTGACACAAAAAATTGGAAGGAAATGCATTGCATAGTGGGTTTGAGTGATTTAAGTTGATTATATTGTGAGCTAACAAACTCGGTGACTTAGAAAATCTGGAGTAATTAATGAAAGATAATTAAACAACCCCTAGTAATTTATTTATCATTTTTTAGTACAATATTTTACACTTTATAAATTGCATGATAAGATACATGAGTAACCTTATTTCACGTTATTCACTGGACATGGTACACATTCTTATATTTATTATTTATCAAAAATTGAAAAATAATTAAAGATGTAAACCAACTTGATTTTTCATGAAAATTAGGCGCTTTACCATGCTTAAAAAATAATAGTGAAGATTGAAAATTAACTAAGAACATAAATAAATTTATTCAAGGAAGAATTAAATAGTAAATAAAGAAAATGATTATAGAGATTTAAGTAACTAAGCAACAATTTGAATGGGAATTTAGTAATGTAAGTACTTATAATGAATAATAAAATAATCAATAACATTAAATGGATTAAATAGAAAAGAAATAAATTATATTAAGTAATTAAGTAACTGATCAACAATATAAAACAATAAGTAATTATGTTAATTTCTATTTTGAGAAACAGCTCGCAAGTATTATAAATACGAGATTCCATAGTTTATAATCATAAAGTGATGATTAGCGTGGTGGTTAAGTGGTTATAGATCTTGGAATGAGGAGGGGTTCGAACCCCTGTGTGTGTGTGACTTTAATTGAATTCTTTAATTTTTGAAAGTTCATATCACGATAATATCATGATATATTGATCATTTATCGCTGCCCCAAAATAACGATAATTTCTTTAAATATCGGCGAAATTATCAATGATTTGTTCTATAAGTGTGACATAGGAACGGTTCTCAATCACAACTTTCTTTAAATATAGCAAACAACTGCAAAAGGCATAGAAATCCATTTTGGTAAGATTTAGTATTATCACATGAAACACGTGCGGATCTTGTTATAAAGACTTCAACAAGAGGTTTTTTTTTTTTTTTTGTTGTTGCCAAAATTAAAAAAGAGTGGAGAAACCGCAAAATCTTCAGTGCGGTGAGGCCAAGCCAAAGACCTGTCAGTCACGTTGTTTAAATGTAGCTTAATTATTAACCAATTAGAAAACGTATCCCTTTTATTATTTTATTTTATAAGCTGTTGCTTTGGGGAATCTCTCTCGACGAAAAATCTCAATCTATGGATAGAGGTAGGGATTAGTAGGAAGGAACTTGTTGACGGTGTGGACGACAAAGCCGACGACTTTTGCCGTCTCCAATCCAGAATTAACACGTGGCTACATGGCAATGTCGGGGATTTTATTCACGTGATTATTGATCTTGCTCGTTTTGGTTTTCCTTTCACGTTACCTGTGCCCACTACTGCCCCCACGGCCCACTGCCCGCTGCGCACATAAATAAATAAATAAATAAAATTCTAATTCCTTCCTACCCCCCGTTTCCCCAACAAGCACAAATCCATTGTTTTTCGCCAACTTTGCTTGAAAATTTCCTTCCAATTTCTCTTTCTTATTGGTACTGAAATTTCCTGCCATTTTCATCATGATACCGATGTATCAGGCAGGCAGGCAGGCAAAATGGATTCAGAAGATCAAAAATTTCTTTCTTCTACTGTAGTTTATTCAATCTTTCAAGATTAGTGGGGCCGATAATGAGATTTAAGGATCCTAAAAATCTGTTTATGTCACACTTTAGACAAATCAAGACAATAAAAAGAGCACCAAACAAAATGTGATAGAACATATAATTGATATTATCCATACTATCCAAACAAATATCCGAAATTATTGAAAATATAATTGATCGAATAATTAAAATTTGGGGCCCCTTGGGCGACTGCTTTATGGGGCTGTCCTAGAGACGACTCTGGAGATATATATTTTTTAAAATACAAGCGATAGTCTAAACTATAAGGAGAAGTGGTTTTCTCACACACATTATCAAGGTGTTATAAGGTTCGAACTTGAAATCCTTGGATATGCAAGTCAATGCCTTTTCCACTTGATAAAAAAATAATCATACTAGCTAATCCACATATAAGTGGAATTTTATCACTCCAAATTTAAAAAACATCATTTTTTCTTGAAAAATAAAACAATAGTGTTTTGAGTTGTTAAATGGGTGTGGTTATATGGTACATGTTTTTCCGTATATGAAATGAACGGATAAGGAAGCATGTAAGAGCTGTTGAGAGTATTTGACCCACAATGAAAAGTTCAGGGACCAAGTCTATGTTTATAAGTGGTTGGACTATTCCCCCCATTACCAATTGATTTTGAGGTGAAACCTCAACTTCCTTCAAATAAGACAAACTTCCCGTTGTCCATATTATAAATTAGAGAACGCATGAACCAAATTAAACTTGATATGATAGAACTCAAATGCAAATGCTACAATTATAATGCGTATATCGTTGACATGAACAACAATTGCATTGCAGTTGCACCAATAAAGAAAGAGTAGGAAATGGGTTGCATTGAGTAGATCCATATTTTTAGGGTAAAACGTATCAAAATGGTCAAGTAGTAGCATTGAGTGCCAAGGATTTTATGATCTTCACCAAATAGTAATGTGCCTTTGCGCCCCAATTATATGTGCACATGAATCTAATAATAAATCCAATAATCAAGGCTATTATTAGATAAGCTTAAATGATTACAAAGATTACAACGTGACAAAGGGACCAATTACATCGATGAGCTTAAAAGACAAACAAGTTTAAGTAAAAAAAACAAATAGGCTCACCTAATTTTTGCCCCCCGCCGTAAGGTACTTATAAGTTCAAACATTTAATAATTTATTTTTGGACAGCCATTGACAAACCAGGTAACACACTCGACACTGTCTTTCTGCCTAAGCAAGCATCCCTACAAAACATAAAAAAGTGACAAAATTTGACTACTGAATTTTAAAAATTAATAATAAAAATTAATAATGATTAAAAATTCAGAGCAAGAAAAGTAAAAGCAAGAGAACATTCAAAAGCATTGAAAAGAAAATAAAGATTAAAAAAAAGGGGGGGGGGGGGGGGTGTTTGGAAATTGGAATAGTCATCTCATATTGCTGAAATCGAAAGGCATCTAGAAAAGCAAAGACCATGAGGTTTTACTCCGCCATGTCTTAAAAACCACGAGGCCGAACAACGTGTCAAGTCATTGAGAGGCTATTGGGTACTCACACACAGGGATTAAGACCTACACGCCACCAAACAATTGTTGAATGACCCTCTGGACCCGTACAATAATTTTTATTATGTATTAATTTTTGGGTTAAGAGGGTATTAGTTGGACCAGCTTCTCTCTCTCTCTCTCTCTCTTTTTTTTCTGATTGTACCTCGTGGAAGACGTGTGCCCATTAAAGCACTCAAAGACAGTCGTTTCTGTCTGCCTGTCTCTTTCTCAGTTTCCTTAATATGAATCTCGTGCCTCTTTTAAGACCCTCCTCTCTCTCCCCCTCCTATTTAGAGAAAAACCCACTCCCGCCTTGTCATTTACGTCGCTCATCCAACTTCCCCATCATTCCCCCAGACAAGCAATTTAGCAAACAGTTTGTGAGCATGTCCAGGGCAACGGTTGAGCTCGATTTCTTCGGCATGGATCAGAATCGTGACCCTTCCTCCTCCTCCAAATCCCAGTTCCAGAAGTTCCTTCATCGCCAGAGAAGCTTCAGGGGCATTCAGAATGCCATGACCAAGATCAAGCCTCAGGTTCTCAAATCTGTGATTTCGTCTGGTTCAGTCCTTCTCAACCACCACCACGACGGCTCTGAAACTCCAATGGCTTCAAGGAAATCCTTCTCCTTGCCGTCCAGCCCCAAAGCAGAGCAAATCCCATTTCCCTCTTTGCCTGTTTACATTCCCACCGGCACCTCTGTCTCTTCTTTCATGCCTGCTCCCGCTGCTGCTGCTGCTGCTTCAGAAAAGCTTGAAGAAACAACAACGCCTCTGACGATTTTCTACAACGGAACCGTCTCTGTTTTCGATGTCCCTCGCGACAAGGTTTGTTCTCTTCTTTCTAAGATGTATAGTCATCATACTATACATGTGTGTTCACATAAAAGTTGAGAGTAGTTGGATTTTCTTCAATTGTTAACCGTTGAGAGACAAATGCTTGGATTTGTTTAGGCTGGGAGCATATTGAAGCTTGCCTTGGAAGGAAACTCGGCCAAAGCTGCAGAATCAGCGTTAGCTGTGGATTCAAAACTTGTTCTTCACTCAAGCGACCAGCAACAGCTTCTGGATCCTCTTGACGGAGGTTAGTTCCCTGCTTATTTTCAGTTTTCCTAAATGCTCGACTATTTTCTGCTTATTTTCCTTCAACTCTGATACTCTTATTTTTCCTTCAACTCTGATACTCTTATTAATTTGGATTATTGGGTATAGTCTTGGAGAGGAAACTTCATTTAAACGTTAAACCCTTGGTAAATAATAATAACCCATTCTCACCTTTGCCTTTGTTACCTACAAACTTTGCTATTAAAAATCCAAGATAAACCTTAATACCAAGTAAAGTAGCAATTTTTCTCATTATGAAATATATATATATCCCTTCGGGATCCCTCAAATAGGACACCCTCTAGGGTTTCCTAAGAATTTTTTTCAACGAACCAAACCATCTATTTTTTGAGTCTACATTCATAGATCATTCTTATAGATCATTCTTACAAAGAAATTAGACAGAATTTTGTTAATTGGATTTTGAAGTGTTCTTATATTTAATTTTTATTAATTTTGCAGATTTACCAATTGCCCGCAGAAAGTCACTGCAGAGGTTCCTAGAGAAGCGCAAAGAAAGGTAACCCACAAAACCAATTTCTTGCTTCATATATTTTTACCCTGCATAAAACTATTATTTATTTATTTATGATGAACTGCATAAAAACACCAGATTTCTTTTTTCCCATGTATTTTTATGTATGGCATAGCAGATTATTATGTATTTTAAGCATTATAATTAATGAAGTTAAGCGTGACCCTGATCAGAAAAATAACAACGCGTTTTTTTTCTTTTTTGATATGAACACAGGTTGAATTCGGTGTCCCCATTTGCCTGCGATGCCTAAGAAGCTTGCTTTATATTATAATATACGTGTTTTGACAACCACAAGGCAAGGCAGCAGAAGAAAGAAGACTCATTCCAAAGTCCTTTTTAGAAACACTTAATTAGTCTAGGCTGAAAAGAGAAAGATAAGACCGACAATATAGTAGTTGTTATGCTGGTTTCCTTCTCAAAGGAGCAAAAGCACTTGTCCTTCTTAAATCCCAATACTCCTTTTTCCACAAGTAGATTTGGTCGTTCACGTTTTGCTTATGGGCCTTGACTCTTGTTGGGGCAAACCCTACCCACCTAGCACCTACCTATTATTATTAGTTTATGTCTACTTCCTCACACTTTCATTTCATGTGCTCTTCCAATGTGAACTCGGGACTTTCCCTTTTTTTATTTGTAATTCTAAGGTTATTTTATTAGTATTATTAGTCACGTGTTGTATACTCTAACCTACCTTCCATTTGCAAACCCAATTTGATATATTTTATATTATTATTGAATTTCGTGGAATCATGTGTTTTGGCTTTGCTACCTATTTTGGTCTCCTTTGGAATCAATTTGAATTCTTCTTGTTTGTACTTTAAATTGAAAGATTATGAATTTTGGTTTAGCTCTTGTTGTTGAGACATGCATTCACTTTATAAACTTTAAGTAGTGAGTGGTTAGGTTAAGAGTTGGTGAAGGATATGAATACTACTACACCCACCAAAATGTTATTTACTTTAGACGCCCTCAAATTATGTTTGCGCAACGAACCAAGAAAATAAAACTCTTTAGTGGTCAAAGACAAATTGAATTATTAGATAGCATCCGTGCCAAACCTCTCCTCGAGGAACAGATCGGAAAGTCAGGTCCAAATCTGGTACGCCTTTGTTGAATTACCTGAGGGAGGCTGAGTATTTATAGTTAGCAGGTTGGCTGTAACTGTAAGTATGTACCCTCTGCCATATCTTCCAAAAAAATCAAAATGTGAAAAGATTTGACTTTTTCAACTTCCCCGTGTTCCTTGTAGACAAGCTGAATGTAGCAGGGGTTATAATGGCTGGCCCAGTATAGGCCAACTTGCTCATCTTTTTTACTCCCAGAGAAGCTCAATCTTCATGGGCCCAAGCTTAACAACATTTGCTACTTCATTATCTTTGTTTGTTGACTGAAGCAACTAAGCCTAACCCAAACCTTATTTGAAAGCCCACCAGTGAAGAGCCCATTCATTTTACTTGGAAAATAAAGAATCTTCCTCTTATTATAACTCCCTTCGTTCCCGAGTCATTTTACAGTGAGAGTCTTGTATATGTCCCTCTTTTCTCTGGAGTCATTTTATGATGAGAGTGCCATATATGGAACATAGATTTAAACTTTCATATTAATCACGTGATTTATCTGAAACCTTATTTGAAAGCCCACCAGTGAAGAGCCCATTCATTTTACTTGGAAAATAAAGAATCTTCCTCTTATTATAACTCCCTTTGTTCCCGAGTCATTTTACAGTGAGAGTCTTGTATATGTCCCTCTTTTCTCTGGAGTCATTTTATGATGAGAGACTAATATGAAAACCCTGAGAGTCAATATAGTGAAAAGTGAAACAAGTTAATTTCGATTATACAACCATTATTTCAATTCTACTTGAATTACTTGAGACTGATGATGAAAGAGTTTTAGTTAAGCTTTTTGATTATATTCCAAAGGAATGGGTGCCTTACCATTGAAGGGAATTTTCAGTTTGAGAAGTCAAATATGATCTAAACGTTGCTTATAATTCTAGACTTTTTAAGGGTAACAATGACCACAAATTTAGGGCAGTAACCTGAATTGAAACATGACGGAGAACATGCAAAACCTTGAAACTGCCCCTATAAATCACATATTGGCCGGGTGAAATTGAGCCCTCACATTAAAACCCGAAAGCACATTTGAAACGGCCGAAAATTCAATTACAAAAACCAAATACTTAAAATTGACAATCTGTGCAACACCCTTTCTTCGACGTAAGAAGAGAAAACAAAACATCTTCTAACAAAAAGAATGGAATAACTTTTGAGTTTTCTGTATGCCCGCAACGGAACTCGAGCGCCATTAAACAAGGTTCGCTCGGATCTCTCATAGGCAATGTCCCAAGGAACAATCAAACACAATCTGCAGAACCAATCTAAACCTTATGAAAAAAGGAACTGTAAAATCTCCATTTAATAATTGAGAGAGAGAGAGAGAGAGAGAGGGGAGGAGGAGATTATGAGCATCAGTTTTAAAAAGCTCGAATTTTGGAAGCTTCATGGCTTTCGCCAATCAGTTGTCAATTCCAAATTTTTCTCATCATATGCTCTCATCCTCTATTAACTTTGGCTTCAGATAACACAAGCAGAGAATAACAAAAACAGTTGCAGAGTAGAAAGAAAAATTAGACAGAACAAACGCAGAGCAAGTAGCATCAACGAAACAATAACGAAAGATTTTGGAACAGCCGCGGGAAGGCGAGGCCAATACAGAAGCATCCGCAACACTCCTTATATAAAGAGTGTGAGGAACTAAAGAAAACCCCCGAAACCCTAATCGCATACAACTCACTCACACCTTCAACGCGACGCCGTTTCCTCTAGTATAGTCTTTCGGTCAGAGTGGAAATATGAATATTGTAGGGGCCAATCACGAAATATTATAAATAAGACTGAAAGGACGATAATGCCCCATATGGCGGTAAATGCGCAGATCTAAGTTTGTGTGGATCCGACGGCCTACATTTCTGGCACATTCGTTTATATTCATAGCCCTATAAACCCTAATTCCCTTCTCAGTCGCTCTCCTTTCTCTAGCTCCCCAGAGGTTCTTGCGGCTCTGTTTTTGGTTTCTGCGATCTACAACAACCAAGATGGTAAGCCCAGCAGAACTATCTTGTATTTGTATTTTCTTAGACCTTTGTTACGATCTGAACCATCTTCTTCATTAGGCTCACAGATTTAACGCCATTTGTGAAAATCCGCTTGTTTTCGTTTCCTGGGTGTATTGAAAACATGGCTTTGAATCTAGATATGATCCCATAAGCAGAAAATGAAACGCACTTTTAGTTGATTCATTCTGTGCATATCAAACTAATGGTAAAAAATAGTTCTTTTTGTGAGCAAATGGATTATTTCGTGGTAGATATTAAACTGCTGGTTGCTAACAGGTGCTCCAGAACGATATCGATTTGCTGCATCCACCAGCTGAGCTCGAGAAGAGGAAACACAAGCTCAAGCGTCTTGTGCAGTCTCCTAACTCTTTTTTCATGGTACTACTATTAATTATTCGATGCAATATGCCTTTTGGGGACATTTGTTTCTTTTTGTTTGATTCTGATTTTCTAGAGAGAATTCTAATCTTGATTGTTTTAAATATGCACAGGACGTTAAGTGCCAAGGATGCTTCAACATGTAAGTAATTCTTCCCATCTTCCATTACCTTTTCTGATTATTATATTGAAGTTGTTGCTGCATATGATTTAAATTTATGAAATAAGGAAATTTATTCATTGTCTGGAGATTGAACCAAATTAAAATTCATTTGTGCAGAACCACCGTGTTCAGTCACTCGCAAACAGTTGTGGTTTGTGGGAACTGCCAGACAGTGTTGTGCCAGCCTACTGGTGGGCGTGCCAGGCTCACTGAGGGTTGCTCTTTCAGAAGGAAGGGAGACTGATGCTCAAGCTTTGATTGCATTGATGTGTATTTGGAGAATTGAGAAAGGGCTTTTTGAGGGTTGATTAAGGTTAAAATGTGGGTGCTCCTCATTTTTGTATTGCTTTTTAGTTTTTAATATGTAATTTGTTAGCGGGGCGGCGTTCTGGACCTTGTCATGGGAGTGCTATGTTATGCATCTGGTTTAGTTATGTTTGGTGGTTTACATTTTCAATTGCTCTTCTGATGAAGTATTGTTTGAAATTTTCATGTCTGCCCGTTTCAAATTAAATGACAGGTTATTGATGAACAAGTTCTTTTTCATGAAAATGTTTCATATCTATATTCTTCCTTGTGCCATTTAGTATTCAAGCATTATGTGGTGTTGAAATGCTAAAGCTTTTCAATTGATGTCTTCTCAAATCCTCTGTTGCATGCTGTTTCATTTAGCAGGGATGAGTAACCCTGTGCTCTGTACCTCTGTTCATTTAGGGCTAAAGCTCGTTAGTTAGTTCATTTTAGGTTTCTCTGTTTTGTGCAAAGTATCAGCCACTCTTAACTTGACTCTGAATGGATACTGTGTACTCCATTTGCGTTTGGTTGATAATTTTAAGCCCTCTCGAGTTTTATGATAGTTTGGTGAGACATAGAATTGGATTTTGTACACTTAAGTTATGAGTTATACGATTTTATGCATCGGTGCATCCGAGCGTTTTTGTTTGTTTAAAGTCGTCGGACTTTAGTGCTGCTATAATTCACGAGGAGTCTTTTGTGCTGCGGGTATTTTTTGAGTAGAACATTTGGTACTTCTCAAGTCAGTCTGTTTCATCTGACGGATTTAGGAAGGATTTGAAGATTTAAGGTTGTTTCAGTGCTTTTTGGTCGATCTCTAAATACTCAGTTTTCGTAATGGGCGCTTCTTGTTCCAAGGAATTTGGTTCTGTTTTATGGGTTTTCCCCACTTGCTTAGAGGAATTTCATGTGATACCAGAACTTATATATTCACAGGAGTTCATGTTACCACAACTGCACCCCATGAAGTGCCAATGTACAGTAGTAAATGCAAACCAACTGTTCGTATTGCTCTATATTGTAAGGAATGAAAGGTTTGGGGATGTTTCACAAGAACATGACGATGGGGAATGCCATGAACTAAAATAACAGATTTTGATGGTAAAAATTTTCTAAGGAGTCATTACCAGAATTTAAAAGACCAATCAAAACATTGGAATCTTTTTCAATTATTAACTTTGTATAATTTGACGCTGTTACTCACAATAATCCATGTGATATTCTGTTTGGATTGAATGCAATACCATTTTCTTTTTAAAAAAAAAAGAAAGTGCTTCAATTTCAATTTGAACAACATAAGTAAATCTAACTGGATTATTTCCACACATGTTAGCAGTCCCTCCAAAGTCTCTAATCACAAAACTGAGCTAGGCGGTTTTCAAGTAATTAATAGTCAATATATTGCCAATGGGTCCATAGCTCGGTTTCAAACTTTTACAAAAAAAAAAAAAGAGGCTTTATTATATTAAACAATATAAGCTATTAGTAAGAAAACAAAAATATACTTGTAAAAAAAACAAAAATATACAAATAAAAAATTAGAGGTCACGCTTTGAATTTGACGTAGTGGTTTGAACTTCTTATAGGAAGCCAAGGTTTACACAAATTACTTGTTTTTTTAAAAAGAAATTTACGCGGGCATGCTTAGATTGATTTGTCAAAGAACGTTTCAGTGTGCAAATTTCGCTCCGCATTGTAAAACCAACGCTCGGATTAGCTTTTCGCGATGTGGGTACGCTGCCCAAGCAGCAGCAGCTGCCCCATTGGGCCAACACCCCCCTGTCCACGCAGAGCGTCCCAACTCAGAGTTCGATTCTCACGCATACGCTGCTATGCTTCAACATTGTATCCGAAACGGTGACTCGAATTCCGCAATGGGTCTTCACTGCCGGATCTTGAAGAAAGGTGGTTGCTTGGACTTGTTTGCTCTCAATATTCTTCTTAATATGTACGTGAAAGCGGGTATGCTGTCTAATGCCACTACGCTGTTTGACGAAATGTCTGAAAGAAATACTATTTCTTTTGTTACGTTGATCCAGGGATTTGCGGACTCTCAACTTTTTGTTGATGCAGTAGAGTTGTTTCGCCGGCTGCATAGAGAAGGCCATGAGCTTAACCAATTTGTGTTTACTACAATTTTGAAGTTACTTGTGAGGATGGGATGGGCTGAGCTGGCTTGGACCATCCATGCTTGTATTCATAAGCTTGCACATGGCTCTAATGCCTTTGTTGGGACTGCTCTCATTGATGCCTACTCTGTTTGCAGCCACGTTGATGTTTCTAGGGATGTTTTTGATGAGATTGTTTGTAAGGATATGGTAGCTTGGACTGGGATGGTAGCATGCTATGCTGAGAATGGCTGTTTTGAAGAAGCACTCGAACTCTTCAGTCAAATGCGGATGATTGGATTCAAGCCTAACAATTATACTTTTACGGGTGTGCTTAAGGCCTGTGTTGGTTTAGAGGCCTTAAATGAAGGGAAGAGCGTCCATGGGTGTGTAATGAAATCATGTTATGAAGGGGATCTATATGTGGGTACTGCATTGCTTGATATGTACACCAAGTTTGGAGATGTTGAGGAGGCTCGGCAAGTATTTCAAGAGATGCCCAAAAATGACGTGGTTCCTTGGAGCCTCATGGTTTCACGGTGTGCTCAGAGTGACCGTTGTGAAGAGGCTCTGGACTTGTTTTGTCAGATGAGGCAAGCATTTGTTGTTCCCAACCAGTTTACATATGCTAGCACACTGCAAGCTTGTGCAACTATGGAGCGTTTAGATTTTGGGAAGCAAATCCATTGCCATGTAATCAAGGTTGGTCTTGATTCAGATGTCTTTGTTTCAAATGCTCTCATGGGTGTCTATGCTAAATGCGGAAAGTTAGAGAACTCTATGGACTTATTTGTGGAATCACCAAATAGAAATGATGTATCTTGGAACACGATGATTGTTGGATATGTTCAGTTAGGTGATGGGGAGAAGGCGTTGGCTTTGTTTTCAAATATGCTTAGATGCCAAGTGCAGGCTACAGAAGTGACTTACTCTAGTGCTCTCCGTGCTTCTGCTAGCCTAGCAGCATTGGAGCCAGGAGTTCAGATACATTCTATAACGGTCAAAACCATATATGACAAAGATACTGTAGTGGGTAATTCTTTAATAGACATGTATGCTAAGTGTGGGAGCATCAAAGACGCCCGCCTGGTGTTTGATAAGTTGAAGCAACGAGATGTGGTTTCATGGAATGCGATGATCTCAGGATATTCTATGCATGGTCTTGGCCTGGAGGCTCTAAAGATTTTTGAAATGATGCAGGAAACAAATTGCAAACCAAACAAGTTAACTTTTGTCGGTATTTTGTCAGCATGTAGCAATGCAGGACTATTAGATCAAGGACAGGCTTATTTTAATTCTATGGTGCAGAACTATGACGTTGAACCGTGCGTAGAGCACTATACTTGTATGGTCTGGCTGTTAGGGAGATCAGGCCATCTTGATAAGGCTGTGAAGTTGATTCAGGAAATCCCATTTGAACCTAGTGTTATGGTATGGCGTGCTTTGCTCGGAGCTTGTGTTATCCATAATGATGTGGAACTTGGAAGGATTGCTGCCCAGCATGTTCTTGAAATGGATCCCCAAGATGATGCTACCCACGTGTTATTGTCAAACATATATGCCACTGCAAGGAGATGGGATAACGTGGCTTCTGTCAGAAAAAACATGAAAAGGAAAGGAGTAAAGAAGGAACCCGGCCTAAGTTGGATTGAGAACCAGGGCACAGTTCATTATTTCAGTGTGGGGGATACTTCACATCCTGACATGAAACTGATCAACGGGATGCTGGAATGGTTGAAAATGAGAACTTTGAAGGCAGGACATGTTCCCAATTATAGTGCCGTTCTGCTTGATGTGGAGGATGATGAAAAGGAGCGCTTCTTGTGGGTACACAGTGAAAGGTTAGCTCTAGCATTTGGGTTAATTAGAACATCACCTGGGAGCCCTATTCGTATCATTAAAAACCTTCGAATATGCGTGGATTGCCATGCCACAGTGAAGTTAATATCAAAAGTAGTGCAGCGAGATATTGTTGTTCGAGATATCAATCGGTTCCATCACTTTCAGGATGGAATTTGCTCTTGTGGTGATTACTGGTGATTGATCTGCCTTATTGGGATCTATGATTCCTGGAGGGTTGAACTGATGAAGTCACCTTGTTCTCAAGGTAATGAGCTCCATCCCAGGTAATTCCTTATCGATGACCAATTATGTGAGCAATTACTTTCACTTTCTTGGGTCTAGCTAATTATTTTTCTTTACAGTTCTTAATGGTTCGAAACTGACATTAAAACCTTCTACTAGTTGCGTTCTGGCATGAATTTGTGCACATAGGTGTTGCCCACTTTTTTTATGTCTCTTTTTTCTTGTTCCTCAAGTAATTCTAGGTCATGAAGTTCTCATTGTGTAGAGTGCATAAGTCCACATGAAGGCATTACTTATTGATTAATCATTTCTCTCGAAATACTTTGGCCTTTTAGTATAGAATATCTAGTTTGGCCTCTGTGATAACCATTATAAAGTTTGCACCTCCTTTTCTCATTTGCGGTTCCCAGCATTTCCTTAAATAAAGACTTCTGGATCCAATTGTCCAAATGTGAACTGCTACTTCTACTGAACTTGCTAAATGATTTCTTATTGATACTTTGGAAATTTTTTTCCTTTTTCACCGTTCTTGCTTTGACTAAGACAACTTCCTTGCTCCCATTGTATTCTTTTTATTTAATTTATATATTTCATTGTCTAATTTCAGAACTACGAACAAAAAGAACATAATTTTCAATTTCAGTATAATTTGGCCTACCAATTATGACCAACGTGAAATAAGAGTATGACATTTCATGTAATGATTTTGTCCAGTACTAATCTATAATCATGATATTAACTTCATACTCATCGTGGAAGTTTTACACCACCTCATTACAGGTATTTGTCTGCATGCGTTGTCGTTGTCACTATAAAGATTATAAAGATAATGTAAATTGTACATCAATTTATCCCTATCTATTTGGGCGTCACAGTCAGTTTAGGAAGGAAATGTGACCTTGATTCTTATATTTCTTATTTTTTATCCAACTTTTTTCCCTTTTAGAAAAGTGTGCTTATTTGGTTTGTACAAAATAACAAAATTTTATTTTGCTATCAAGTTGTTGATATGTTACATTTATGAATGTCTGTGTTCATGCACCCATGTGTACATAGTATTTTACCTAATTATATATGTATGTTGGCATATTCGTGACCTTAATCCATATTCAAGTATAAGGGTCAAAGATTAAAAATATTTTAATGGTTTTCCTTTCAATTGAAGTATGCGCAAGCATAATCAAATTGTGAATGCATTGACTTGATACAAAAGAATGCGTAATTTTCTCTTTTTAGTCTGAGCGTTGATAATCATAGATTCCGCGATATGCGATATCCATCAATTATCTCCTATAAATTGCGTGTCATATCAAACTTGTTGGTCATTTGTGACATTAGACATCATATCACACTGAAAAAATTTCCATATTGGCACTTCAACTTTTGAATCATCTTAATTGCGATTATGAATCATGACTTTTTGACTTATGAGTCTCATCTTGTAGATATCGTTTTAGGTGGTAGTGGATTGAGAAAATTCATGATGGATTAGGTAATTATATACTTTTATTCACTCCTTGTTGAGATCACCAGGAATCAAAGGCTTTTTCTCCTTTCTTCACAAATTACTGAAGTGATATTTTAGGCTAGGGTCGAAGTTCTAGCCTTTAGGAAAATCTTTTGTGACAATAGACGAGGCATTACCAACTACTTACTCTAAACTACTATGATCACTTCAATAATTACATAACACTATACTAAGCCTGGTATAACATGAATTTACTGTGAAATCAACTGATGAAATTTTTTATTGAGAATTGGTGCTGAGAAGGTTTTTTGTGCTTCCAACCTCACCCATGTATCATGTGTTTTAGCTGCATATTTTCATTTGCTCAGAATCACTTTATGAAGCACTTATCTTTTGTGTTTCCCCAGAAGAAAATTTATCTATAATTTTCTGTAACTAATTGCATTCCATTTGAGGGAATTTATCTCTGAGAAAGCAACAGCTCATCTTACGGAAAACGAATCTAATTTATTGGTAAGGCTTTGGCTCAAAAGAGAATTGACAATCCAACTATAAAACCCACTATCACTAGAAATATTTTTAGTTATTCCAAATCTTGTTGAATTACTATTTGACTTATTCTCATTGTGTTCCACTTAGACTTATTACGAGTTATATCTACCTCCTGATGGTGCGGTAAAGGTTGAACATTGGATCACATTTTTATCACCCACTTTGAAAGAGATTTAATGTCAATCATTTCCTAGAATGAATCAGTTATGTGTTGTAGTATACATGTCAAGTTATAATCTAAATATTTGTTGGCCATGTGTGTTTATAAGGAAATTGTCATTCGTAAAGTAGGAGCGCTTGTCATTGACTCAACTTGCTTTTGAGATCAGCAAGAACAAACTAATGTCTAAGGTTAATATTTTTCTACTTTTCATTGCTCTGAAGAATCTCAGTTTTGTTCAATTAATATGTCAATTCAAAATTCTTCAGGAAACTCATTATGGTACATGGAAATTTTTATAAAGTAACAAGCTAGTTAGCTATGAACTTGCATATTTTTTAAGTTAGCTATGAACTTGCATATTTTTTAACTTGTGTCCTTCCTGTAGCAAGAGAAACCATCTGTGTAATGGAAACAATTTTTATTGAGAATTTTTTAACTGGTGGGCCATTTTCTCACACCTCTAACTCCAAGCAGAAGCTGTTTCTACAATTCATCTTCTTTTCCAGAATTATATATCTGCATCATTACTATTGCCATTCTTAGTCTGGGCTTTTCATGTTCAAGTTGCGGATGCTAACTATTGGTGGAACTTGTTTTGTGCTTGACTTAGATGTGTAACTAAAAGTGAGGGAAGATGTGGAGCTTGATACGTCAGCATCAGTTTGTAAGTGTTACACAGTGTGTTCTGTTGTCAAAGCAAGAGAATATTAAGATGCCTCTGTTTGACAGCGAGACTCCTCCTATTCAAGACCAGTCTGATTCTGAGAATGTTGGTGGGGAAGGTGACTTACAGAAGGCTAAATATAGTCAGTTTCAGGAGATTGCTTACGTCAATTTTTTGATCAGGTTAGAGTGTTGCTTTTGTTAAGCTTTCCGGAATTTAGAGGTCTTGAATATACTTCCAAGTCACACAAGCTTGTCAGAATCTTATCTTGCCAATGGTGATTATTAGAAGAGATTGGTGAAACTATTTGGAACTTGTATGAGAACATTTACATGCTAGATTTTAGAGCCCTTTGAAGCACACACATATAAATCTTGAAACTATAACAGCTAGTTGTACAGGTCTAAATTCAAACTTGTTGTAGCATCATTGAAGTGGTGGCCAATGATGGTCTTTGTCTCATGCAATGGATATGTGCCCTTAATTAATTGTACTCAATTTTGATCCTAAATTTTGTTGTCATGCTGAAGCCCTGTTTCATTACATAGTCATAGGTCAATTATTTTCTTTTTAGAATTGAATGCAGGCTGTAACTTGTAAGTGGTAACAAGATGAGAAGTTTTCCTCTGAGGAGCCTTGATAGTGGATCTGGCTCTAGGTAGAGATTGAATCTAAGTACATTGATTCTGGGATGAAAATGTTTAGATGAGTTGAGTAGCCAAATGATGGGAGGCCATGATAAGTGGCAGTGATGAAATTACATGGATCCCATTTTTGTTGGTTAAGAAGAGGGAGTTTTGTACAGAATGTCCTATATTTCCATAAATATTGATTTCAGGATATAACATTTTGAGGTTTATTGTTCACTGTTCTTCTGCCCTTGTATAGAAAATCTCCTAAACCCTAAATCCTTGGGCCATTTCTGAAGTTGTACGTGAGCCCATCTGATCGGTGATTGCTTAGGAAGCTGGCATCTCTCTACAAAACATTGGGGGCTGGTCTGGTCTCACAAGTTGATTAGTAATTATGTTTTAGTTATTATTTACTTAGTGAATATTAAAAAAAAGAAAAAAAAGAAAAATTGAATTACTATTTATTAAGTAATATAATTCATGACGTTAATTAACATATTTAATACTAATTATTCACTAAATAAATAATAATTAAAATATCATTACAAATTTAACTAATCATATCAGTCAAATATATTATTCAATTACTAAAAATAAAATTTTAAATAATTAATTAACCTAAACAACCTAAGTTTATATATATATATATATATATATATATATTTTTAAAGACCTCCCCCGATGAAATTTCGTCGGCAGAGGTTTTTTTGTCGGGAGAAACCTAATCTGACGGATATTTGCCGGCATAGACCTATGCCGACGAAATTTCGTCGGGAGAAGTGTTATGTTATTTAAAATTATTTTTTTATAAAAATATAAAATTAGTTTCATTACTTTGTTTTTTCCCCAACTTCTTTAATTTAATTAATATCTTATAGTCTTTTATACATATATATATATATATATATATATATATATATATCGTGTGAATAGCCACCTTTCCTACAAAAATAAACAAAAAGAAAATTAATTGAAGTGTCATATAAAAAGGGTAATTGAACATGATGGGGTTGTCTCATTTGACAATTGACATGTGCAGTACTCATCACTAGCTAGCCTCTCTTGTTCAATGTTCCACTTGTTTTGTTTCTACATATACACCTACCTACCTAGCTACTTCCAACACTACACTACACTTATATATTGTTCATGTATATACGCAAACAAAAAACATATATACATACGTGTTTCAAAACAAAACAAAACAAAACAAAACCGACCGCATTTTCCAAATTCACGTCCTTTGCTTTGCAGCATTCATATGGAGACGAGGTACGTTTCTTCTTCTGGTGAATGTCCCTTGGACCAAAATTGTAGCTACAAGTCAACAGAAGAAATAAGTAAAAGATATTAGGAGATTAACGTAATTAAACATACATATTTATTTGTGTTGTGTTGGGAGAGTTGACTAATTAAAGAAATATACAAAAGAAAGATGACTGACGAGGCATCCTGTGCTGTGTCAAGATCTTAGTAGTGGAATTACAAGACGATCATGTAAAAAGCTATAAAATAAAAAATAAAAATAAAAATAATGTTCTTCCTCTTCCTCTTCCTCCTCCTTCCTATAATAATGTTCCCATTACTAACTGTTCGACACTTTTCATCACTAATCAAACGTCCACGTGACTCAACCATGACAATGCATTGCAACCCATCCATCCAGATCAACATGTGTCTTCTCTCTCTTTTTTTTCGTTTTTTTTTTAAGGAACCCAAAAAGAGGATATATAAAAATTCCATGGTCATGATAGCTCTGGTTATAAAATAATGCAGCAACTAGAGGCAATTAGAGAACAAATGGAAACAGGGGATTAATTATTTAATTAAGGCTAAATAATATAATATCTTGGAAAACTGTAGTTGCAGGCAAAGAGGCAATGTATGTGGATTAGTAAGAGAAAGATAATGAAATGATGGCGGTAATAGAAAATGGAAAATCGGAGAGAGAGAGAGAGAGAGTATATATATATATATATATATAT